TTTACATTTTAATTATGTCTTTTTTGTATGATTTTTTCTGTGTTTGATTGTGAAATCCCATCTGCTAACATATTAAAACAGTGTACAAAAAGTGATATTACTGGAGTTTTATTCTACTTAGGTAAAGCTTTCTAATATTGCCAGTCATTTTAAGACCAATGACTAGTCTATAAAAGTTGATTGAATTATGAGATTAAATCAATAAATAATCATTTAAAACAAATAAAATAAAAAAACTCAATTTAAATCATTATTTTTATTTATCTGATATAAATCATGATTTAAATCGAAACAACCCTTTATATACTCCATCTTTTTGAGGCAGAGGGACATTATTCTTGGTTTTTCCATTTTTTAATTTTATATCTCTGGATATTTTTCATAATTAGTTTGCCTACAACAGTTAACAACTTTTAGCCTTTACATTAACCTTATTATTTATGGTTTGACTTAGCAATACAAGATTGAACTTAGCAGAAGGCTAAATTTCTGCTCTGCAGACAAAAAAGGAAGACAGAGAAAACGACCAATTAAAATAAAGATTAAACAGACAAAAAATTGTGTATATCTTGGTGTAGATGATTTGTCCTCAATTTCTTATAATAAAACAAAAAATATTTTTTTACTTTGGGATTTACCTGACACTCCAAACTTTTTACAGAAGTTCAATGTTTGCTCAGAGAAGTTGAATAAACAAAATTTATTAAATGGTAAGTTTTTATATTAGTAAAAAATGTTTTAAGCTTATCATTTTGTTACTTATAATTTGTATGGTGCAAGTTCCTATACCGTAAAGTAAGGTGATGTCTTAGAGTCAACAAAACTCGTAAATCTATTGCGCATAATTATTTTTTATATGAATATTTTTTTTTTTGTTGATATAATTAAATCTATGAACAATTTTTGCAATGCTTTCTTATTTTTTCTATATAGCCGAAAAGATTGTACTAACTTGAAGTATAAAGTAAAAAATAATAACTGCAAAATTGTCAAAATGTCATTTTCTTATAATAAAAAAGAGTAATAAATACATATATTTATGAACATACTATGGTGCACAAATCTTTGTGCGATGAGAAATGCTTTTTTTTTGGATATTTTGTTCAATATAATGTAGAAGTTTTTAACAATCTTATTTATTTGTGCTTTTAAAGAAAATTCATTGTCAAGTATCACCCCTAAACTTTTTGCTGAGTCAACAAATCTAATGCATTCCTTGTAAATAAAAGTACCTTTAACAATAAAATCTTTTTAAATGCTCTGTGGTGTCTTAATGAATATTTTTGTCTTCGATTGGACAATACATAAGAATGGTTCGTCATCCATTTAAATATGTTTTTAAGACAAAAGTTCACTGTTTTGAAAGTATATGATAGTTTGTTATAATTTTTTTTCTCTATTTTTTGTTCTACTTTAAAATCGATGAAAAAATAATAACTCAAATCTTAGTCTGATACATAACTAATATAATAACATTGTATAAAAAAATATAGCATGAAAAATTAAATAGAAAAAAAAACAAACAAACGAAAAAAAAAACAGATACAAATAACACATTTTTTATCACAAAAGAACAGAAATCTTTTCTTAGTTGAAGTGAGAAGAAAGTTTGAAACTGTGGTTTTGATTGTTAATTTATCTTCTTTTGAAATAGATGGGAAAAAAACATGAAACTTTGAGTTACATACAAAACATTGAACATTTTCTGTTACTGATGCTCTATTTTGGCAAACAGGACAATCACAATTATTGACTAGTTTACTGGTAATTGACATTCTTTGGATTTATTTCGTGACGTGCCTTTTATGAGAATGAGACACTTTTAAAAAGAAGACCTACCACTTTTTTGAAGTGGATAATCTCCAGGTTGAGATCAATAATATGTTATTATAACTAGTGGATATGTGCAGAATCATACGAGAAAATATTTGCTTTAATTCAAAACTATAAAGCATAAACTGTTTCAAAGTTTTCATACTATTCTGCTGACAAAAAACTTTTGTAATAAGGTAAGAAAATGTTTGGCAGTTGCCAAGATAAGGTTAAATTTTTTTTCAGGGTGATATTTATAGGTTACTTTATACATATGAACTTTATGAACAAGCACTAAAAAATAGCGGATATAAAAACTACTCCCTTAAATATCCCAGACAGCAAGCTTACATTGGCCCAACGTAAGTTTTAACATTGGCAAGTTTATTCCGTTGGGCCAACATTTAGCCAATGTTTTTTTTCGACGTATTATTTTCAATTCCGCAAAACGGTTTTTTGCAAATATCATACTATATTGGGCCAACATTTAGCCAATGTTTTTTCTTCGGCGTAATATTGTAATTCTACAAATCGGTTTTTTGTAATTATCGTACTACGTTGGGCCAATGTAGTTTAGGCTTAATGATTTGCTATAAAAATCTGTTCTTACATTTAAGCCGTAGCCAATATTCGGCCGGATTAGTAAATATTTTTAAAACCTTTTTAAAAATGGTATCGTTTGACAGACTAAAAAAAGGTTTTGATATTATCTTTCCATTTTTTTAAATTATATATAAAAAAAAAGGAGCTATATTTATGAATCTTCTAAGAATCTTAAAAGGTTCGTTATATGAAATAAATTTCAAGAGATACTCGTGACTTAATGTTTTTTTTTTTTTAATAATGAAATATTTTTTAACAGTTAAATAAATGCTTGAAACATTTTTTACTACAATGTAAATTATTAATGTAATAATAAGGGTAATAATTAAATTATTTTTGTGTAAGATCTTAAAGTTATTTTTTTATACTTATTGCTGTATTAGCATTTCAAATGTTTGATTTATTTAATAATCTTTATTAAATAAATGTAACATTTCAAATGTTCGAATTATTTAATAAAGAAGACATTTTAAATTCTTCTTTATTAAATATATCAAACATTTAAAATGTCATACAGTATAAGTATTGAAAAAAATTTTTTTTCATAATTTATTTATAATAGTTTAAATTATATAGCTATTATAAGATATATTATTAAAAGTATCAGTAATATATATGTGGCATTGAAGTTGTTAGAAGCTGATATTTTACATTTTAAGTATGTCTTTTTTGTTTGATTGTGAAACCATATCTACTAAAATATTAAAACAGTGTACAAAAAGTGATGTTATTAGAATTTATATTCTACTTATGTAGAGCTTTCTAATATTGCCAGACATTTTGTTTTAAGACCAATGACTAGTCTATAATAATTTATTGAATTATGAGATTAAATCAATAAATAATCATTAAAATCAATTGAAATAAAAAAACTCAATTTAAATCATTATTTTTATTTGTCTAATTTAAATCATGATGTAAATTGAAACAGCCCTTTATATATTCCATCTTTCTGAGGCAGAGGGACATTATTCTTGGTTTTTCCATTTTTTAATTTTATATCTCTGGATATTTTTCATAATTAGTTTGCATACAGCAGTTAACAACTTTAAGCTCATACATTAACTTTCGTTATAACTTAATTATTAATGATTTGATTTATAGATTTTTATAGCAATACAAGATTGAATTTAGCAGAAGGCTAAACTTCTGCTCTGGATACAAAAAAGGAAGATAGCGAAAATAACCAGCCAAAATAAAGATTAAAGAGACAAAAAATTGTGTATATCTTGGTGTAGATCATTTATCCTCAATTTCTTATAATAAAACTAAAAATATTATTAAACTTTGGGATTTAACTGTAACTACAAACTCTTTACAGAAGTTCAATGTTTGCTCTGAGAAGTTAAATGAACAAAATTTATTAAATGGTAAGTTTTTATATAAAATTCTTTATGTCTGATGATTGAAAATCTTTATTCATAGCTTTAACTTTTACAATTTTAAAGACTTTTTCATATATTACGGTCAAAAAGTCAGAGTGTAATTAACATTTTATTTTATAATAATCAACATATCAAAGCTTACACCACTGGCTTGGTCAGGAAGCGAGAGCGATCGCTCTTGGATACTGACCAACGAAATTATATTTAGTTGCGAAGAACTGGCCAGGTTTTTTTAGGCGTTTTGAGAACATTTATGTTTATGAACGTAACAAAAATTTTTTGTTGGATTTCAAAGTCACCAACTTTAAAATCCATTTGAAATCAACTGTTGAAAAAAACAACAGACTATTCATATCAGTTTAAAGTTTTAACAGTTGCTGGTGGTTCATTATTATTCGTTTATTTAAATTTTTTCTAATAGACAAAGGTAATACGATATTTTTATAGATGATATTATTTTTTAAATTGTATTATTAAAATTCAGAACTAAAATATGTAAAAAAAAATTATATTCAAACATTGGACAAGGTCTGTACTGTACCTAGAAAATCTGGAAAATATGCTAATATTGGCCAAAGTGGTGAAAAACCTGGAAAAGTCAGGGAATTTTTTTTTTTTTTAGATAGTCATGGCAAAGTCAGTAATTCTAGTTAAGAAGTTACTCGTTTCACAATTGAACGCTGTATTTTGAAAACGTGAAGAGTCACACTTTTTAAAATTGAGGTTATTTGAAAAGAATATTTTTTTTAGTAAAAGATAAAATTATAAGATAAAAAAAAGATTTTTTAGATAAAATAAAGATTTTTTTTTGATAAAAAAAAATAATTTTTAGTTAAAATAAAAACAAAATTTTTTTTAGGAAAAATGTTTTTTACTCTCCGGTAAAATTTTAATTTTGTGACTTGTCACATTTTCAAAATACAGCGCTCAATTAAGCTATTATGTTTTTTTTGGTGCTACTAATTTATTTTTTCTGAAACTTGTTTTCTTAGTGTTTATTCTTAATCATCCTTAATAATAAGAACCATACTAACATGTATAATAAGATCTATACTAATATCTAACTTAAGTAATAGCTAAGTTTTATAAGTTTTGTCATTCAAAGCATGTATATTCTTAGCATTTCCATTACAGTATGTATATTCTTAGCATTTCCATTACAGTTTCATTAAAAGTTTAGCACTCTGTCTTTAATTTTATCTGTTTTATTAGTGATTTTTGTATTTACTTTCATAAATTCTAAATATTATATATAATTAGTTGTATAGTTTCTTAATAATATAATTATCCTTGAAAGATATGCTGGTATAATTGGCACAATGGGCAAGCATTGAAGTGCAACTTGGTGAACTACAAAATACATCAAATTCAGTTAAAAAATTTGAGTATCAAAGGTATGCTAATTATTGTATTGCCTGAAAGAGTGTCATTGCCATTAAAAGCAGTAAAGAATTCAAGTACTCTGGAAGAAAAAAGACAAGAAAACACTTTAGTAAATGGTAAATATTTTTTTATGATCTGTTTATGCATTTAGTATGATATGTAGTACAATTTATATACTTTAAATAAAATACTCTTTGAAGATTTTTTGTAAATGACATTTTATATTAATTTAAGTCTAAACATAATTTACTTTAATTACTGCCAGGCTGTGTGTTTTTGCAAGTTAATTATTTGGCACAAATTGGAGTTAAAGACGAAGGAGATTGTATATGTTATTTACTAAGAATAGTTTATTGAAATGGCCTAGCTGTAAAATTGAATTATGCAGGGAGAGGATAAAAAATTGGAATAGGAAAAATGTTGATTGCATATGCTGCTATTGGTAAGTGGTTTAGAAAAGTTTATTTTTTCAGTTTTAATTTTGTATTACAGAATTACTTTCAATTTGTTATTTTTCTTTGGTGCATAATTAAACAAACAACTATTTTTTTTTTGCAGAAACTGTAAAGTCAAATAAGTATGGCTTATGCAGACATGTGATAGAGATAGCGGAAGAAAAAATAATAATCGTGGGCACCGAATTTCATAAGCTAAACACGATTCAATAACAAGTAGCTCAGTCAATATCGAAACTACTCTATAAATTTTACAGTGAATTTTTTATCTAAAACTCAATGTGTCAGTTTTTGGTATAAGTTTGGTGTTTGTAATATGTATATTTAACCAAGAAATTATGTTTTATAAATAAATTGTTATACTTGTATAATACATTATTTTTTTTCTCTATAAGTTTTCAATGTAGCAATGCAAATCATCTTATTTGTAACAACGATCTAATGTTGCATAAAACGTAGGCCAATATAAAAATAATAATCGTATAACATACGATATTGGGCCAATTTTGTATACAACGTTGGGCCAATGTTGTTTACAATATTGGCCTAACGTTATATACAACGTTGTGCCAATGTTGGGTAAACGTTGTATACAACATTGGGCCAACGTTGTACACAACATTGGGCCAATGTTGTACACAACATTGGGCCAATACCTAACCAATGATCAAACCTGCATTGGCCCAACATCGACTTTCAACGTTGGGCCAATGCATCACCATGCATTGGCCCAACATTGGTCCAATGTAAGCTTGCAGTCTGGGATCAGATCACACAAAAAACACCCCCAAAAAAATCGTAAACGTAATATCATATGGTTTCACTGACTTAATAAAAATGTCTCAACAAATGTTTCAAAAATGTTCTTGTGTTTACTTAAAAAAAAATTCCCTAAGACACACGAACTTCACAAAATCTTAAAAAGAAACACTGTAAAGGTAAACTACAGTTGCACTAAAAATATTGAAAAAGTTATAAAAGACCTCAACAAAAAAATAATCTTCCGAAGAATTAAAAATAATGAGCCAAAATGTAATTGTCGAAACAAAGTAGATTTTCCCCCTGAATGGTAAGTGCCAATCCACAAATATTATATACAACTGCCCAACAAAGTTTATATTGGATTAACCAAAGGTGAGGGGAAAACCAGATATAACAACCAAAATTTATCATTTAGCAATATTAAATACAAAAAGTCTATTGCCCAATCAAACTACGTCAGGGAATTAAAAAACAATTTTAACGAAACCCTTATACTAACATTTTCTTTTCTAAAGTCTGTATCCCCTACTCAAATATTTCCAAAAGGTGCCCGCTATGTCTGTATGAGAAATTTGCTATTATACCGTATCAAAAACCTGAGTAATTACTAAATAAAATAACCAAAAATATATCTAACAGCCACCACAAAAATAAGTTCTTATTAAAAAAATAAAAAGCTTGCAACAAACCTAAATAAAAACTTTAAAAAACTAAATTAATCTACATCATGAATCTTTTTTTTTTTTTTTTTTTTTTGTATGTGTTTAGGTGCTCCCAGAAGTCCTTACGGTCTTATAATAGAGCACCGCGGGAGAGCATTTAATAGGAAGTTCATGCCTCCTTCCGTACCAATGTCGCTTTTTGGGCTGGAGCTGACTAATAAATTACTCACATACATAGCTTTTGTATTATTTTTCATAATATTATATATATTTTTCTATCAATTTTTATTTTATTTTTTTAAACATAAATAGTTCACACATCACATACACAATTATTTTAAACAACATTAAACATAATTATTTCACAATTATTAGCTGACTAAAAACAAATTAATAATGTTAATAATGTTTACTAATCAATTTCCGCCCCGTAACGATCCATAATACAAATATAAACCATAATACAAATATAAACCGTTCACTAAACAAACCGTAACAAAATTAAACTTTTACTACTTGCCTATTGATTGTGGTAACATATGAAACTTAGAGTTGCAATATTAAACTATATTATAAACATTAGCATTTAGCTAATTCCAGGTACTGGAGTGTGAAACACCTTATACAGTAACTAAGTTAACAAAAGCGATGACTTTGGAAGAAGACTTTTGTCCTAAGAAAAAGATAGGATGTTTTATGACAACGAAGGAGACGCTTTGATAATTGATGAAAAATATTATAAGCAACTTTGTGCGGAAAATTAACGACAGGTTGTTTTCGACTATATTGCACTAACTAATAAATCCGATAGAATACCTAAAAAAATACAACTGTTATAAATGAAATGGTCATAAATAATTTCAAATTAAAATGACAACGGGTATAGTTATGTATATAGTTAAATGAATGAAATGATCTGACATATTTCAGATCATTTCACTCATTTTGCATCTCATAAAAATGCATTAGTATTAATGCACAGAAACATAAAAAAGTAAATGAAGAACTCATTGAAAATTTTAATTTCAATCAAATTTACACTGAGATAACCCTTTTGATTTTGTACACACAGAAAAGAAACACAATAAGTTTTTTTATAAATTACAACAACTTTACAATAACATTTTCCAGGAATTATCAAGCCGTCACAAAAAAACAACAATAACTGTATAATATATTTTTCAAAAAAAGCTCCTAATAATTACACTAATTACAAAAACTATAAACGTTAATTTCAGATGGTTATAAAAAAGTCAAAGAAACAAACATAATTAAAACATAAACATGATTGGTAAAATACTTTTGAACATTATAAAGAAAGTGAATAGCACGAAAAATACTGACAGTAATTGTCTTCTTAAATATCTATAAAAATGATAATGAATTGTTTAAAAAATAAATCTTTAAATGCCAAAACACTTATTCAATATTTTGTTAGTGAAGGTTCCACTTTAGCATCAAAAATGGAATACCCTTTAAAAAAACTTTGTTTTATATCTTACTTCTAATAATATATCATTAAAAACAAATGGGTTTGATTTAACCCAGTAAAAAGCCGCACATTGGATATGTGCGAACCCATATCCAATGTGCGGCTTTTATTATTTTATGTGGTTTTTAATGTATTAAACTCCACATAAAATATAGGTGTAAAATACCAGATATCTTAAAGATCTTAAGTGTCGCATACATTTAAATGTAAGTTGTATAAAGTAATCAATATCAGATGAATGAAAATCCAAATGTTTCTGTAATAACATTGAAAAGCCTATTACTTAAATAGTAAATCAAAAATAATTATTGAATCATTTGAGGAGACTTATATTTATTTGGTATATGGAATTTTATCAAATATAGGGTTAAATTTATGCGGCATTTATGATCATTCGTAAATGTAATGTTTTCAACCTAAAGCCCATGTGAGATTTACCATAGACTCACAATAAAATTTTCAAATAAGACAAGTAACTATTCGAAAAAAAAAGAATTTTTATTTTCAAAACTTGCATCAATAAAAACATTTAAGACAAGTATTAATTTTTTTTTTTGCTCTTTTGCTATTTACACACCATTTTCTGCATTTTGAGTTTATAAAGTATACTGCACTAAAAAATGTTAAAGTGACGTTATACGAGTATAAAAAACATAATTTTGTTAAAGTATAACGTTCAATTTTAAACCATTCCAATTTTTACGTTATTTATTATAATTTTATTAGTAATGTTAGATAAATAAAAATATATAAGCATGTTTTTATGTGTAAATTTAAATTATCTAAATTTCTCTTTTGCGTATTTACAATTACCCAGTAACACAGCTGTTTTATAGTTGGAGTTGGGTATAAAAGTTATACAAAGTAAAGTAGAAACAGAAATTTGAGTTAAAAGATAACATTCTTGCAAATTAGAAATTGTTTCATGTTAACATTTTAGAAGCAACTAATTTGCTTTAGATATTTGATAGCAAAGAATATAAATCAAATATAAGTATTAATTCATTATCTACAAAATACCAGTAACTTCAAAAGAGCGCAAAACTGTTATGAGATTTTATTTTTTTAAATGATTATCATTTATGATAATCATTATCATTTATATTTTTTAAAATGATTATCATTTATGTTATGAGATTTTATTTTCAGTTTGAAATAGTTGAATATACTGGATTCAATAGGCTAATAAATTTTTTTTTTTTTTGCAATCATCTATAGTCTTTCTCCAAAACTTTCATTTATAAAGTCTGTACTTATTGCTTTCGCTTTTTTTTTTTTTTTTTTTTTTTTTTTTTTTTTATTTGATGCCCTTATTAGTTTCATATTATAAATTAAATTTAAGTATTATTATTAAACTTTTTTTTACCCTTTAAAAAATTTCTACTTTTAGCGATGAAAAACATTGTAATCTTTTACTAATAAATAAGAGAAACGTCATAAACATTTATATGACATAAGAAAGCAATTATTGCTTATAAATAATACTTAATTTAATGCTGCTGCTGCCCATACCCATACATGCGTGTTTACACGGAGTTTTACTAAAAATAGAATTTAGCATGCTTTTCTTTTTATACTTTTGACCACGCAATAAGGTACTCTTAAATCTTAATAATCTGTTAAAATCTGCTAAATCGTGATAATCTGAAAAACCTTATGGTATTTTTAAATTAGTAAAGTAACTTTTGAAGTCAGGTAAATTATTTAATTCATGCATTATAATAATAACAGTATTCCTTTGTCAATTGTATTTAAAGTATATTATTCTGTAATTTTTAAATTAAAAGACGATGTTGACTCTAGGAGATATTGCTATTTTCAAAGGTCAAGAGGTCAAACTCTTGATAAAGTTAATGTTTATCTCCAAAAACCTTGCAACTTACACGATCAGCTCTATGTTACATAGTAAAGAACAAGATCGTTTAATAATTTATTTTAAAAAAGTTAAAAAAAATATATTGGCTTTTATAATATAAAAAGCCAGATCATCTGATTGTTTGTTTTTTTAAAATTGTTAAACATTTATACGAGGTATATCATTAAACTAATATTACAACAATAAGGTTGTTTTTTTTAAGTTTCTAATTTATATATCTTTCTCTATTTCTATATTTATTCATATTTTTATTATTATTGTTTATATGTGTTGAGGTTATAAAAGTTTTTATTCTGTAATGTGTAAATTTCTTTTATATATGAATTGTTCCTATGCTTGTGTTGTGTTATAATGTTATGCGTTTATTTTGTAAGTGGTTATTATGTTGTTTGCACGGTATAAAGTTGTTGTGACTTAGCTTAGTTTACAGAAAGAGTGTTGACCTTGCTAGCAAAGTGGTGTAATTTGTTATAATGTGACCTTTGTTACCCATTCTTAGTGTAAACTTCTTCAAATCTTCTATTGTTCAACAGTT